TGATGCTGACTGCCTGTCACAGGGCCCTCAGTGATGCTGACTGCCTGTCACAGGGCCCTCACCTCACCCGCTCCCCTCAGTGATGCTGACTGCATGTCTCCAAGTCTCACTTTGCTATCTCCTCTCCATATGTTTGATTGTCATTGGGTGAAATCCCACAGTTTTACCCCTTTTCATAGCTTCAACGCCACCCCCCACTCAAAATTGCCTATGCCCTATTTAACTTTGATTTTTTAACTTTGTGTCCTTTTTTTCTACTTTAGACAGTATGATCCGGGTTGGATCCGATTACCAGGCTGTTGTTCCAGAATGTCATCCAGGTACGATTTCCATCTGTAAACTGGCCATGCGTACATTGGTCTTGAGGTGTACATGACACTTGCTATAATGAGTAACTTGTATGAAACAAAAGCTGCAAAGAAGTGACAATATACAGATTAGGGAGACATTTCTGCCTTTCCCTGTTTACCTAGTTGTTGTACACCTGCAGTGCAGGTTTGTCGGGACAAGATGATTGTCATATATGTATGGGAAAATCCAACTCCAGACATTTTATCTGGTGGTTAGGAAAATCCATTAAAAAGGCTAATGTGAGGAGCATGTGGAGAACAAATGGGGAGAAAGTTTACTTAAAGTTCTAGTTAGATCACATCTGGACTACTGCATTCAGCGCTGTGCCACAGGAAAGATAAATTGCACAGGATGAATCCAGGACTAAAACACAGTCGGTTGATGGGGGCAACATGTTTGTGGCTTTAACACGGCTTTCTGTTGTTGAGTACCCACACAGTTTACAGCATTCACTGGGATAAATTCTAAGAACATGTGATTAGACGATTATGGGTAATCTGATTGAAAAGGTTTAAGATAATTAAAGGGTCAGTCAGGTAGTTAAAGAGAAACGTTGCTGTTTGGTGGGGGAATGCAGAACAAGGGGGCAGACGTTTAAAATTAGAGCTAGGCTGTTGAAAGTGGAAATCTACATCATTGTCCCAAAGTGCTGATGAGGCTGTGTGTAATCAGTTGAGGATTTGAAAACTGAGATTAGTAGGTTTTTTTTGGTGTTAACAATGTTGTGAGTTATAGAATAGGCAAGCAGATAAAATTAGGATACAGGTCACCGTGATTTCATTGATAAGTGGATCAGGACAGATCTCCACCGATTCCTAAGAGGAAATTATCCAGAGGAGGGAACTGCAGACACAAAGCAGTACATTATGTTCAATCAGAACACAGAGCTCCCCCTGTAACACCAAATGCTCAGAAGTTAACCTCTCACATATACTGAGGTGGCCTCCCCTCTCCTTCTGGAATCCACTAAAATAGCCTTTAAAAAGTTTCAGCTACATAGAGGGTAACAGTGTTAATGTTACAGAAATCTCATTAGTTAAATACGCAGACCCATAAATAAACTGATATGGAAAGCTTAAGAATAGAGAATTCTCAAGGCAAAAACATAGCTTAGGCAACCATGTGATAATTTTCCTTATTCTCCAGCAGCATGTGTAAATGAGTTCCCATTTTACTTATAGCTGAACTTCCATTTGTGTTTTTACAGACAGTGCTTCCCGTTTCAGTGAGAAGGATACAAAAGGCATGTTGGTATGGTCTCCCAACCACAACATTTCTGATGCAAAACGTAAGTGTTGTCGGTAAGATCTCGATTCCAATACCGAAAATTCAGCTTCCCTGAATCTGATCTAAGGTAGAAATGAAGAACCTCAGTTTCGTTATTGACATTCTTCGGAAGTGAAGAATGGCAAACAACTTTTTTCATTCATTCGTGGAATGTGGATTTCACTAGCTAGGCTAGTATTTTTTGCCCATTCCTAATTGCCCTAGAAAAGGTGATGGTGAGCTATTGCAGTTTTCAACTGTTGCAGTTTTTGAGGTGTCAGGGCACCCACAGTGCTATTATGGTTGGATATCCAAGATTTGAGCCAATGACCATGAAGGCACAGTGTTCGTTCCAAATCAGGATAGTGTGTGGCTTGGAGAGGATCTTGCAGCTGATTGTGGCCCCATGTATCTGCTGCTCATCTTTCTGGCTGGTAGAAGTCATGGGTTCAGAAAGTGCTGTTTGTTGAAGGAGCCTTGATGAGTTAATACAGATGATGCACGGTGAGACAGTGCTTCCACTGTGCATCGATGATGAAAGGCGTGAAAGTTATTGATGTTAGATGGTGTATCAATCAGCATTCCCTCTAACTTCCTTACTAGTTGTATGGGCCTCTGAAGATCGTATGTGGCAGCGACTTCCAAAAGTGAAAGTCAGTGCTGTGATTGACATACACAGAACACTGGAGCAGCTGCGTGCACTGCTTAGAGGGGACGTTGGTGCCAGTCAAAGAAGCAGTGAATAGGCCAGTCACAGAGAGAGAGAGAGAAAGAAGTGAAGGGTTGGCCAGTTGGGAGAGAGAGAGAGAGAGAGCACTGCAATTGGTATACTAATTGCTGAGAGAGAGGGGCAATGGGTAGGCCAGTTGCAGAGAGAGAGAGAGGAAAAGGAAGAGAGGTGATGGGAAGGCCAGTCACAGAGAGGGAGGGATGATGGGTAAGCCAGTCACAGAGAGAGAGGGAGACAGCCAAAGAGCTAATCAGAGAGAGATAGAAAGCCGATAGACCAGTTGCAGAGAAAGACAACTATTAAAGGGACCAGTTAAAGAAAGAGCTAGCAAATTGACTAATCTTGGTGAACCAAAATGGAGTAATTTTCAAGCCTGTCCCTAGTATGATACTGCTAAATATTAGAATGCTGTCCAAAGCCTGAATTTTTCTTTTAGGCAGTTCTCTTTTTCACTGATGGAACAATCCCAATTTTGTGTACTTTTCTAACCCTACATCTTTCTTTCAGTTGACGAATATATCGCCATGGCCAAGGAGAAGCATGGGTACAACATAGAACAGGTATGGTTAAGATTTCACTCATTTACTGGAGTGAGTCATAGCCTGGAATCTAATTAAGGGGTGAGGTTCTGGGTGAGGAGGTAGGGTTACATTAAAAAATTCATGCTCAGGGGTGTGTTGCAAATTGGAATCAAATTGAGGGGTTTGGGGGGGTGGGCTTATGTATAGAAGGAAGATATCTGGGATTGAGTTATGGACTGTAATCTAATCGAGGGATTTAGTTGTGGGAAGTTAGTGTAAGAGGACAGAAAGTTTTGACGATAGATTGCATGGATCGTAGTTTTGATGGACTGGAGTGTATCTGAAACAATTGGGGTGATGGGTAGAGAGCTTGGATGAAGTGAGGAGAGATGATCATAAACAAGCTGATGTGCAGCATGCTAATATATCTCTGTCTCCAACTTTCACTGTTGCCCATCTCATTCCCTCCTTCACTCTTTCCTGCTTTGTCCCTCCCTGTCTGCCCCCCTCCCCCACTCACAAAAGGGCTCCCTCTCTTTCCATCCCCGCCCACACCCTCTCTGTCCCTGCATGCGGCCTCTGTTGTCCCCCCACCCACACTCTGTCTGTCTGGCCAGTTCACACAGAGCCGTAAAGTATTACAGCATGAAAAGAGGCCTTTAAGCCCATGTCTGCATTGGTCATCAAGCACCTATCTACACTAATCGCCCTTCCCAGTACTTGGCCGATAAACTTGTATGCTGTGGCATTTTGAGTGTTCATCTAAATATTATTTAAATGTTGTGATGGTCCCTCATCTCCCACCTTTGAGGCAGAGAGTTCCAGATATTGGGTGAAAAAATTCTCCATAAATACCCTCTAAACCCAGTGCCCCTTATCTTGCATTTTTGGTCCCTGGTAATTGCCTCTTCTACTAAGGAGAAAAGGGTATTGCCATTACTTTATATTACTGTTGACCTCAATTAGCAGCCTCCTTAGCTTTCTCTGCTCCAAGGCAATCAACCCCTGCCTGTGTTGTTTATTTTCATACCTGAAAATGTCCAGCCCAGGCAGCATTCTGGTGAATCTACCCTGTACCCTCTCTAGTGCAATCATGTCCTTCCTGTAGTGTGGTGAACAGAACTGTGCACAATACTTTAGCTCTGGCCTAACTAATATTCTATACAGCTCCACCATAACCTCGTAGCTCTTGTATTCTGCCTTGTCTAATAAAGAAAAGTGTCCCATAGGCTGCCTTAACTACTTAATCTACATGTTCTGTTGCCTTCAAAAATCTGTGGACATGCGCATCAAGGTTCCTCTGTACTACCCAGGGCCCTGCCATTTACTATGTGCTCCATTGCCTTGATAATCCTCCCAAGATGCATCATTAAAAGCTTTCTGCTGATCTCATCCTTCTCTTTCTCCACCCAGGCACTGGGAATGCTCTTGTGGCATAAGCATGATGTCGATAAATCGCTCGCTGACTTGGCCAATTTCACTCCTTTCCCGGATGAATGGACTGTGGAAGATAAAGTGCTGTTTGAACAGGCCTTTAGTTTCCATGGGAAGAGCTTCCAGCGCATCCAGCAAATGGTGAGAATGTTCGTGATGGATCCTGGCTGCTGTTGTACCCAATCAGGGTGCGAATGTTGCATGACGAAAAATTCACATGTCCCCCCAGTGATGTGATATGGGTCAGGATTGTTTCACTGGGTATAGTGAGAATATGAACATGATAGGAGGGCATCTAGCCTCAGCTGCTCATTTCCCCAGCCACTCAGGAGTTGAACTGAGTGTTGCTTTATTCAGATAGACTTCTGATAGAGAGTGTGGTCACTGTGACAGTTGATACTGAGTTGTGATGACGTAGTGACATTGTCACTGGACTAGCAATCCAGAGACCCATGCTAAAAGTCCTGGGGCCATACTCCTCCACAGAAAGTATTTGAATTCAATTAATAAATTTGCAATGGAACATCTAATTTTGACAATATAACCACTGTTGGTTTGTTGTAAAATCCTACCTGATTCTTGAATGTCCTTTTGGGGAGGGATATCCTCATCTGGTCTTGCCTGCACATTACTGTAGACCCACAGCAATGTGGTTGACTCCTAAGTGTCAGCTGTAATGACTTAACAAGCCACTCAGTTGTATTTAACAATTTCAACGTCCGATAAAAGGAAGGAAACCAGATGAGCTACCCGTTATTGATCAGAGTACCAGATATGACAGTTTCACTGAAAGGCCCTGTTAGTCCTGGGAAATCTGTACAACAGACTAGTCAAACAATATCCTTCTCATAGAATAATATCTTAGAGACAATGTCCCAGACACCACCATCACCATTCCAAGGTATGTCCTGCCCACCAAAGATGGTAGAACGGTGGTATACAGTCAAGAGGGAGTTTTCCTGGGAGTCCTCATCATTGACTGTGGACCTCAATTCTCATGATGTCAGATGAAATATGGGCAAGGAAACTCATGCCAAGGTCGAATGTGAATACGGAAGCTGCCGTGTTGCCATCTACTGCCCTGTCTCAGCAAATGAAGAGCTGGTTCTTCCTTAAACATCACTTGGAGGGCACACTGAGAGTTACAAGGGCACAGAATGTAATCTGGGTGTGGGTTTCCATCTCCTCCACCAAGAATGTCTCAGTGGTACCACTACTGGCAGAGCCAGTAGAGTCCTAAAGGACGTAGCTGCTAGACTGACTTTGTGTCAGATGTTGAGGGAACCAACAAGAGTGGAAAATGTATGTCACCTCTTCCACAGCAATTTATTTGGAGCACATGTCCGTGACCGTATCAGTTGCATTGACCACGATGAGTGAAATACCATCTTCATATTGTCCAGCTTGTGCTATTGCAGTACCAACATGCTGAATGAGATTTCAAATAGATGTAACAACTCAAGACTGGGCATTTGTGTGGTGCTGTGGGCCACTGACAGAAGTAGAATTGTTCTCGCCCACAATCTGTGACCTCATGGCCTAGAATATCCCCTCACCCTGCCATTATCACCCAAGCAAGGGGTAAAGTCTGGTTCAGTGTAGAGTACAGGAAGGCATGCAGCACCAGGCATACCTAAAAATGAGATGTAAGCCTGATGAAGTTACAACACAGGTCCACTTGCATGCCAAACAGTGTAACCAGCATGGATTAGATAAAGCTATGTGACCCCACAAACAATGGATCAGCTCTGAAGTCCTTCCACTTTCAGTCTTGAATAATGATGGGTGTCTAAATGATTCACTGGAGAAGGAGGTTCCATAAATATCCCTATACTTGGTGATAGAGTCATAGAGGTGTACGGCAAGGAAGCGGGCCCTTCGGTCCAACTTGCCCAAGCTGCCCAGTTCTCACAATTTAAACTAGTCCCATTTGCCTGCATTTGGTCCATATCCCTCCACACCTATTTCATTCATGTATCTGTCCAAATGTTTCTTAAATAATGAAATTGTATTCAGTTCCGCCACTACCTCTGGCAGTCCGTTCCAGACATTTCACCACCCTCTGTGTGAAATAATTGCCCCTCTTTTTTATCTCTTCCCTCTCACCTTAAACCTATGCCCTCCAGTTTTAGACCCCCTCTTTCACACATCCACACACACCCACCCCCAGGGTTAAGCTGTCCGCTATCTACCTTATCTATGTCTCTCATGATTTTATATACCTCTATAAGGTCACCCCTCAGTCTCCTACGCTCCAAACGAAAAAGTTCCAGCCTATCCAACCTCTGTTTATAACTCAAACCTTCCAGTCCAGGTAGCATTCTAGTAAATCTTTTCTGTATTCTTTCTAGTTTATTAATATCCTTTCTAAAGTCGGGTGACCAAAACTGCAGCCAATTCTCCAAATGTGGCATCTTGTACAGCTGCAATAAGACGTCCCAACTCCTATACTTAATGCTGTGACTGATGAAAGCAAACGTGCCAAAAGCCTTCTTTGCCACCCTGACTACCTGTGACTCCATTTTCAAGGAATTATGAACCTGTACTCCTAGATCTCTTTGTCCTACAGCACTCCCCAGGGCCCTTCTATTTACTGTGTAAGTCCTGCCCTGGTTTGACCCACCAAAATGCAACACTTTGCATTTATCTAAATTAAACTTCATCTGCCATTCCTCAGCCAACTGACCTAGTTGATCAAGATCTCTCTGTACTCCCAGATCACCTTCTTCACTGTCCACTACACCACCATTCTTGGTGTCATCTGCAAACTTACTAACCATACCCAAAGTACATACCATAACCAAATTCTCATCTAAATCATTTATATAAATGACAATAACAGTGGACTCAGCACTGATCCCTGTGGCACACCGCTGGTCACAGGCTTCCAGTTTGAAAAACAACCTTCTACCACTACCCTCTGTTTTCAACCATCAAGCCAATTTTGTATGCAATTGGCTAGCTCTCTCTCTGGATCCCATGAGATTTAGCCTTACTCAACAACCTACCATGCAGTACTTTGTCAAAGGATGGGGAGCACATAAGTTCAAAAGATGGGGTTGAAGAATTTGCATCGAACTTCAGCCTGAAAAGCCAAATGAATTATGCATCTTGGCCTGTCCCTGAAGTCCTGAGAATCTCAGATGCATGTCTTCAGCCAATTCAGTTAACTCCACATAATATTAAGAAACAGCTGATTCCACTGCATACTGCAAAGGCTCTGAGTCCTGGCAAGTAGGAAGTAACATCTGCTCTATGCAAGTGCCAGGCAATGACCATCTCTAACGAGAGAGAATCTAACAGTTGTGTTGTATATTTATTACATTACCACTGCTGAACCCCCCAATGGAAATCTACCATTGTCTTGAAACTGAACTGGATCCACTGTATAAATACTGTGGCTACATTGTCAGAAGTGAGACGGATTACTCACCACTTGCCTGACTGGATGTGTAAAAACTTCACACCATCCAGGATAAAGCAGTCTACTTGAGTGGTAACCCATCCACCATCTTTCACATTCATTTTATTGACCAGCATTGTGAATCTACTTACATTACACAAGAATGCAGTGGTTTAAGATAACCGCTCATCACCAGCTTCTCTAGGGCAGTTAGGATGAGCAATAAATGCTGCCCTAGCTCGCTATACCCACATCTCACATGAGTAAAAAACATTATAATGGAGAGTGTGTGTGAGAAGAACATCCTTCATTGGATGTGAAGCAATTTGAGATGTCCTGAAGTAACAAAAGGCATTGGAGTAATGCATGTTTTTGTTTTATTTACAATCACTGGAGGCTTGGGACAGCAAGGCTGATTCTGGCAGAATTTGATGGTGGTTTTTGATGAATAATGCAGTGTGTCAGTGATACCCTCCTTTTCTTATAGTTACCAGACAAACTCATCTCCAGCCTGGTGAAATACTACTACTCCTGGAAGAAGACCCGAACTCGAACAAGTGTGATGGATCGACAAGCTCGCAAGCTGGTGCACAAGAAGGAGCGGGAAGACAGGTCTGTGAATTGTTCTTGCATGTCACCATTACCCACCCACCCCCTGCAAAAAAAAAATCCAAAGTACTATCTGGACAACTTTGAATATGATGGCAGTTTCTTGCTCAGTGTTGTCACGTAGCTATAACCCGCAGATAGCATGACATAGCAATCCAGCCTGAGCCTATCCTCCGATGGATATACTTTCCATCAGGAGGTTCTCTTGGCTGCTGACAGAGGAAAACAAACTGGGGACCTCTGTGATTCAGTTAAACCCATCCTTTCACCAGCTGGGCTCGAGAAATAAAAACACTTTTGGACAAGCAGGACATGTGGCTCCATTCATGAATCTCAGACGAAGAAAGTGAACCCCCGTTTCTGAAAATCAGCCAAGAACTGAAAGCTATTTCAGTCCCTGCTTTATCTCTAAAACTTTTCATTTTATGTGTTTTTCTTCTGTGTTGTAGTAATGATGAGGCAGAAGAAGTGACAGTGCAGATTGCAGACGACAGTGATTATGAGCCTGATGTCAAGAGGGAGGTAAGGTTTCTTTTTTCTTCTTCACACTCTGTACAGGGTAACCATCGACAATAAGTTGCACCCTTTGTGTTCAGATTGTCCAGTGTTCTCAACTGAATGGTTTAACTCATTGCTCAGTTTTTGGATTTGTCCTGAATTAGAGTGCTATCTAATGCTGAAATATCCATGGGATTCCTATCCTTACCCCTTGCTAAAGTTCATCGCCATTCAGTAATTTTCCGAAGTGGCTGTTCCACTTGATCTTGGGGTATGGTCTTGGCTTTGGAGCAGGAGGAGGCTATTCAGCCCTTTAAACTTTTACTGCCATTCCTGCTGATTGGTTTTGCTGTACATCCTTTCATCCCTTATCCAATCGAAACCTATCTGCTACTATTTTGAAAGTTTCGATTGACCCCCAGCAGCAACAGCTTTTCGGATGAAAGTGTTGCAGACGTTTGAAGTGCTTTCTGACATCACTAGCTGATTAACGTGGCTGGGATTTTAAGTTTCTGTTTACTTGTTATGGATCACAGGAAATACCTTCTGTCAGTGCCATCAAAAGCTTTAAGCATCCTAAACAGAGGGAAAGCATGTTAGAATGATATTGTCAGTGAATTCAGAGGCCTGGCTACTTATAAAGGCAGAGGGTCAAATCCCATCATGGCAGATGGTGAAATTGAAATTTAATTAATCTGGAATTGAAAACTAGACTTAGTAACTTAGAAACAAGTACTGGTGGAACTATATGGAATTGTTGTTAAAAGAAAAAAATGTCTGCTTCATTAATGTCCTTTAGGGAAGCAATTCTGTCCTTATCCAGTCTGGCCTACATGTGACTCCAGACCTGTAGCAATGTGTTTGACTCTTAACTGTCTGAAATGTCCCAACAAGGCACACAGTTCTAGGGGTAATTGGGGATGAGCAACCTTGCCAGTGACCCACACATCCCATGAAAGAACAAGTAACACAGAAACAACTCATTGAGATCACCCCTTAATCTCCTTTACATGGGGGAATACAAGGGTCAGTTTTTGTATCTAGTCCCCATAGCTTAACCTTCTAGTGAATCTGTGCTACACTCTTCCAAGGCCAACATTTCCCACCTGAGGGGTCAGAACTGAACTCAGTTACTCCAGATGGGAGTCAAAGCAGAGCTCTTTATAAACTGCACAAAAGCAGAATGCTCAGGATGCTACAAATCTTAGAAACAGAAAATGTAAGAGAACTCAGCAAGTCAAAAAGCATGTTTCAAGTCAGTTTTTCAGAACAAAGAACGCTGCTCCGACATGTGACCTGCGAAAAGTTAGAAATGTAGTAAATGAAAAATAGTGTTGTGGTTGGGAAACAGAAGGAAAGGTCTGCAATCATGTCAGTAGGCATGTATTGGGGGCAGGAAAGACGAAATGACAAAAGGTTATGTACACATTGTTTGGCTGAAGGAAGGGGGATTATAGACACAATGAAATTAAAAGATATGTCTATAGTATGTGTGAATGCCAGGTCCCTGAATAACTGCTGTCTGAAAAAAAATTGAAAAGTGAACAAGAGAGGGCAAGAAAAATAACAAATATAACTTGTAACTGGTCACCTGGTTGGACAGAATGTGAGTATTTCTGAAAAAAGACACACTTTGTCAAAGCTCTTGCATTCATTTGGACAATTCACAAAGAGTATGAAAGAAAAGGTAAAGCAACATTTATACTGTATCGGGGAGAGTGCAGACTGGTTTAACTTTGATAGAGACGTATCCATGGATCATGCATCAGGCAGATGTTGACTGGTAGTTAACATCCAAGCTTTGTTTAAAATTATACTAGGCAGGTTGACTCTGATTGCTCAAGGCACCGCCGTGAGAAATGCACCAGAGTACGGCTATCACCTATTTTGTTGAGTTTGACCAATTACAATAGGTTCTTTCCGTTTGCAACCGTTTGCAAAGAAACGGTAAATTAATGTATGTAGCTTGTATATAGAAGTGTGCCACAATGCAAGCCTGGCTGACAGTCCTGATTTGATTGTCAGTGTAATTCTTAGCACAATCTGGTTTATTTAGCAAATGTGGTCCAATTGTTTTTCAGCATCACTCAAATGTAACTTTGACAAGCCTTCAGGGTAAAGGCCTCCTCAAGATAAAGGTTCAATCCATCTTGCTTGTACCTGTCCACTATATCTCCAATATTTCTGCTTTTATTTCTAGTTTCTTGGCATTTAAGTATTTGGGTGAATGGGGGTAGGGGTTGCAACAACAGTAATGCAATTTGTACAGGTTTTGGTGACCGCTTTGCAGAACACCTACACTCGGTTCGCACTAAACAACTGCACCTCCCAGTCGCGAACCATTTCAACTCCCCCTCCTATTCCGCAGACGACATGTCCAACCTGGGCCTCCTGCAGTTTGCCACAACGATGCTACCCGAAGGTTGCAGGAACAGCAACTCATATTCCGCTTGGGAACCCTGCAGCCCAATGGTATCAACGTGGACTTCACAAGCTTCAAAATCTCCCCTCCCCCTACCGCATCCCAAAACCAGCCCAGCTCGTCCCCGCCTCCCTAAACTGTCCTTCCTCCCACCTATCCTCTCCTCCCACCTCAAGCCCCACCCCCATCTCCTACCTACTAACCTCATCCCGCCCCCTTGACCTGTCCGTCCTCCCTGGACTGACCTATCTCCTCCCCAGCTCCCCACCTACACTCACCTTTACTGGCTCCATCCCCGCCTCTTTGACCTGTCTGTCTCCTCTCCACCTATCTTCTCCTCTATCCATCTTCTATCCGCCTCCCCCTCTCTCCCTATTTATTTCAGAACCCCCTTCCCCTCCCCCATTTCTGAAGAAGGGTCTAGGCCCGTAACATCGGCTTTCCTGCTCCTCTGATGCTGCTTGGCCTGCTGTGTTCATCCAGCTCTACACCTTGTTATCTCAGATTCTCAAGTATCTGCAGTTCCTACTATCTTTGGAAATGTCTATCATGAATAGCATAGTGATTGCAACAGTTCAAGAAGGTGCTCATAATCATTTCGGGCCTGCAAAGCACGGTAGGATTACTATAGGTGAATTAAAAGAGAAAGTTATGGCAAGATATTTAAAAAACTGAGTGACTCAGAACAAAACTTATTTTAAATATTGCTTGTGATTCTCCCTCTTCCCCTCCCCATAGCGCTCCGGGGAACAGAAACCCACAAATGGCAAATCAGTGTCAGTGAAGAGAGAGTCGCAGAGCATCCAGTATCGCCATCATCCGCCACGCTCAAAGAGACGGCCACCTAAGGATATGTACCTCAGCCAAGATGAGGTTGCTGGAGTCTCTGCTAACCCCAATGCTGCCACCATCTCTCTTCGACAGTTGGACTCACAGCTCATCTCCATCAAGCGTCAGGTGATGTACAGGGGAAATGCGAGGTCTGGAATTTGGGGAGGGGGGTGGAGTAGAATGATGGCGCAGTATATTAACTGGACCAGCAGTGATTTAAATCCTGACCTTCCATCTCTGAAGTCAAAGACACACGAAAAGCGAAAGGATTTGATTTTTCTGCTGTTTAGAATCCAATGTTGCATTGAGTTGGAGAAAACTGTCTGGCTGCCGACACCCCATCCCGTGAACCCTCCAGCAAGAATGATTCATTATTTAGTAATTTAAGTTACAAGATGGCAGAGAGGCAAAATTTAAAAAATCATGCTGGTAACAGTAGAGAGTACCCTATTAAATGCCTGGTTGATCTGCCTTGGGTGTATTTGATGGGCCAAGTATACAGGGAATTTTAGTCTGTATCTCATCCTGTCCTGTGCCTGTCATAGAGTCATAGTCCTGGGAGTGTTTGATGGGTACATTGTAGAGGGAACTTTACTCTGTGTCAACCCTGTACTGTCCCTGTCATGGAAGTACTTGATGGGTAAAGGATGAAATTTAATGAATTTCTATGGAAGACGGGATTGGGAGGTACGGCAGAAACTAGATAACTGGGATCACTTAGGGAAAGAAGCAGTTAATGAATTATTGCCGAAGATGTAAATGTTTTTGTCTCCCTCCTGTGCCATAGGTTCAGACAATAAAACAGATAAACAGCTCATTAAAGCAAACACTGGATGGGGGGATCGATAAACTGCGACCACCAGAGGTATGAGTGTCATATGACTAACCCTCCCTTCTGTGGTGTATTGCCTTTACCCTCCAGTGCCTGCATTACTACAGTGATAATGTGTTGGTGTTATTCAGACATTTTAGAGATTGGTTCAGTCTGAGCTGAGTTGCACAGGTTTTGTGATACTGGTTTGATGAAGGAGTATTGGCTCTTGGAACACTAATTTCAACTGCTCCTCGAATAGTAAGAATATTTACTGATCAGATCTCATACAATCAAAAAAGTGCTGAAGCAGAAAACAGACCATTTGGCCCATCCTATTGTGCTGGATTTCTAATCTCCACTAGTGGCCTTCTAATCCAAGGTGACTTCCCAGTCGAGGAGAGTCAGCACTGGGGTGCGTCGCACTGTCGGAGGGTCAGGGATAAAGCAGTGCTGTATTATCAGAGAGTCAGTAGTGAGGGAGCACTGCACTGTTATCTGGCCTGCCCTTTCTGGTTCATGTTTTAAATATTTCCATGGCTGCTGTCTGAAAGAGCAGCGAAGTGCTCTCCCAAAGTCCTGGGACCAATTTTTCTTCCTCGACCAACATCACCAAAATAAAGTGCTGATTGTTTTGTCATTCATGTGTAGGATCTTGCTGCGTGCAAAACTGGTTTCCTCCAATACAACAGTGACTACATTTCACAAAGTCCTTCATCGACTGTAATGTGTTTTGGGATGTCCAGTATTTCTGATAGTCCACTGGAGAAATGGGACTTTGTTTATTTTTTTGAGCTGACATCATGACATGTACTAGTGTAGTTTGTTTTAAATATACTTTGTGTTATAATTCTCTCGTTCTCCGTCTCCACAGTCCAATTTGAAGCTCAACTCTCGCTGGACGACCGAGGAGCAGCTCCTGGCTGTTCAAGGTATCCACACATCTTTGTGAATACTGCAGGCTCCACCGCTGTGCTTCTCCACCCTCCTTTATTTTGGTTGATAGCATGTTATTTCCTGAGTAGCTCCATTCTGGCACAAGTGATCTCATTCAGTCCGAGGCTGTAGAGTCTCTCCTCAACTAGGCAGAGTCCGCTCATGCACTAGATGGTGCTTGACTTGACCTGTCAAATCAGAAAGACGCTGGTGTTTTAAACTCTGGCTCTCTGTCTCTCTTTCTCTGTCTCCCCTGCAGTCACTTCCCGATCCAAGCCTTGTTGAATGAAGCTATGTTGAGATGCTGTGGGGAGTGAGGGAGGTGGAATAAATTCAAACTTGTGTACTCTATATCAACTGGACGTGGGCACCAATCATCTCATTGTCTCAGTGACAAAGAATGGGGAGGGGGCTTGGAGTATGAGGAACGCTGTGTGTCTCTGTGTCTCTGTTTCGGATAGCATGTTGGAAGATGGAAATTCCCCAACTCCACACCAAAGGAAAAAAAATCCCAAAATGTTTCTGTGTTCAGGAATTCGTAAATATGGGCGGAATTTCCAGGCCATTGCAGAAGTGATCGGGAACAAGACACTGACCCAGGTGAAGACCTTCTTTATCAGTTACCGTCGCCGTTTCAACCTGGAGGAGATTCTGCAGGAATGGGAGGCAGAGCAGGAGGTGCAGGGCAATGCTGGCACTCTGTCGGGACTGGACGATGGTGGTGCCTGCAACCCATCACTAGCTAGCAGCGAAGAGGAGGCAGAAGAGGAGGCCGAGGTACATGAGTAACATGCTGCCCTGTTGTGAGGGATGGGATGGAAGTGTTTGTCTTTGAGTTGGAGAGGGCATTAGGCTACTGGTTACATTTGAATAAATCAGGAGTTGAGTTTGCAGGAGTGTGGGGTGGGATCAGCTGGCTGAGTTCTGTCGGTTTGTGTATTTGGATCAAGTTTTGTGTCCATTCACAATGATCATTAACCCCTGCCTCCCCCACCCCTTCTCCTTCTCTTTCCGTAGGTCCAAGTGACGCCCGTGCTTGCTGCCCCAGCTCCGCCCACTCCGACCCCTGCTGCCGCCCCAGTGACCCCAGCGACCCTCTCACAGCCTCCGCCGCTGCTCAGACCGAGCCTGCCTGCAGCCCCTGCCCTCCACAGGCAGCCACCTCCCCTACAGCAGGGCCGCTTCCTCCTGTCCCGGCCTCCACTCAACCAACCACCTCCTCCACTGATCCGGCCTGCAGTTGCACTGCCCCCAGGAGCTCGACAGAACCCACGGCCCATCCTGTCTTCGGTTAGCTCGCAGCACCTCCCCTCCCTCATCGGTATCCAGCTTGAATCACCATCATCCTCTGCACACTGAGTTCCACCCAAGACCACAAGCATCGTAACTACGATCGACCATGGCCCTGGGTGTCACAGCTGTGATCAACAAAGATGCAAGCATCTTAGCTACGATCAACAAAGACTGTAAGCATCGTACCTACAACCAGTGAAGTCATAAACATTGTAGATGAGATCAACTAACTTAAAGAGCATTGTAGCTGCAATCAGTGAAAACCAGGACTGCAAGCATCGTAGCTACAATCAACAACAAAACAGAGTTTTAAGGCTTTTTTTTGTTCATTAATTTCAAAGCTTTAGTTTTTAAAAAGAAAAGTAAGGTTTTAACTTTCTGGTGCTTTGTCAACATTTGGGAGATCTGACCTCCCGAATCTGTAACACTACAAAGCAGTGATCTGCTTACCTCTATTCACCCTGAGAAGGATTAAATCAAGATCACCTTGTATTTTGGGAATGTGTGTGTGGGGGTCAGTCCTGGTTCCCAGGAGGTGAGAAGGGGATCAGTTCTTGAACCCCAGGACGGGAAAGGGGAAATCAGTCTGAAGCCTGGGATGGGAGAAGAAAGTGAATCCTGGACCCAAGGATTGGAGATAGAGGTCAGTCCTGGATCCCAGCATCAGAGGTAGAGGGGTTCACTCATCACCTTAGTGGAAGAGAGGAGCAAGTGGATCTCAGGAGGAGACAGATATATTTGGGGGTGGGAAGAGAAGAATGTCTGTCCTGGACGAGACCCTGGAGATGAGAGAGAAGTCAGTCCTGGATCTTGGGATGGTTTGGGGGAAAGGGGGTCAGTCTAATTGGCCATTTTCAGTTCTATATTAACTGGAGCCGACCCAGAAGTGTTTATTGTCCAATTAAATAGGATTGTCTTTGAGACTCCCAGTGGACATTATCAAGTGGACATTATTCTGGTCCCTCCAGTCCCTTCTCTCCTGTTCCCACTCTGTTCACTTGCTGTTTTGAATCTTCCGTATCCTTCCGGTTCTTGGATGGCTAGAAGATTTCTAGAATGCTGTCCTTGTCTGCTTGAGGGAGAAGCTGTCTGTCCATCCTTTAGGACCAGGTGGCTGAAGATGATGGAATAACTAAAAGTGAAGACTAATATTTCCTTTGTGAAACCTGAAAAGGGACCTTATGTTGATTGACTGAGTCTTGGGTGGTGAGGAAGAGTGTTGGTGAGTTAATAAGCAGATAGCTGAAGGATGGGTGGGTAAGGGGAGACACAGTCTGTATTCCACATGACTGCAGTACTTGAACAATGTTGGAGTGTTCTTCATTCGTATACATGATAGCCAAAAGCAAGATGTAAGAGTGTGTTGCTGTCCTTAAGTGGCACTCCTATTGCTGCAGCATCATCTAACTGCAGCCTTGAGACTGAGCCCTGCTCCATTGGTTCAGAATGACCTAAGAAGAGTTGAGGTCCTGATCACCGTTTATTTTACTTGATTTCTTTTAAAATATGAATTAGTGTTAAAAACATAAACTGAGCTTTTCTCTTGTATGGACAAAATCTCAGTGTGAGAACATTAGTCAATGGGGAGGAAGGTTGGTGAATGTGACAGATATTGATTGGAGAGGTGTGATGAGATCAGAGATCTTAGAGAGTCCATGGGATGAAGGTTTACTTGAGCAATGTTGAGTTTTCCTACAATTCTGACTCTCAGAAGAATCCATTCCAGCCCATCATGTCAAAAGCTCTTTTAAAAAATGTATCTCAATTTTTCCACTTTCCCTTCAGTTTCCCCACAGCCTTGCAAGCATTTCCCTTCCACCTTTTTATTGCATTTAGGTGGCACGGTGGCACAGTCCAAATACGTACAGGTTAAGTGGATTGGCCATGCTAAATTGTCCATCGTGTCCAGGGATGTGCAGACTGGGTGGATTAGCCATAGGACATGCAGGGTTACAGGGACAGGGTTTGGGGAGGGGTGTTCTGGGTGGATGCTGTTCGGAGGGTTGGTGTGGACTCGATGGGTCGAATGGCCTGCTTCCACACTGTAGGTATTCCATCAAATCTATGAATTTATTTTGACATTTCTTGTTGAATCTGCCTCCACTGCCCTTGCAGGATGCACATTGTAGATCGTAACAACTTGCTGTGTCACAAAATTCCTCATCGCCTCTCTAGTTCTTTTCAAATCTGTGTACCTCTGGCTTCTGACTGTTCCTGTCACTGGGAATCATTTCTTTTTATTCTTGTTGAAGTTGTTTAATTTTGTATTGCACCAAAGAAGTGAAGGCTGAGAGATTCTCTCCTCCTCCATCTCTTTGTCTCATGTCATTGCAAGAATTGCTTTATTTTCCTGATCTCAGCTACTCTGAATAACTTTAAGATGAGAAAACTGTTCTCCAGAAGTATTACCTATCCAGCTACCACCTTGCTAGCTTGAGCTAAGAGTGGTGACTGCTCCCTGAGCTACTCATCCTCAGCTACACTCAAGGCACTTATCAGGGAAGAGGGCATAATGGTCACATCACTTTCTTCCTCTCTGATGGTCACCAATCTTCTCGCCTTATTCCCTCCTGCATCCCTGTCTCCCTCCTCAGCCACTCCACAGCCATAGCACCCAGCTACAACTCGGAGTAACCATTTCCAGTGTGGGTCCTATACTTTCCATTAATTTAGAAGGAGCTTTGATTGCTGTAGCAATTGTCATCACCTCGGAAACTCCCATCACAAGTGCTTTCCAGCCAATGAAGTGTAGTTACTGCTGTAATGTAAACAGGGGGCGTTTTACACATGGTGGTGAGATAAATGAGCAGATATGGTTTTTCAATTAAGAGAGGGGTCAGTGTTCACTGACCTCAGGAAGGGTTTACACTCACAGCTGTTCTGACCTTGCTTCAGTGCAGTGTATCCTCTCAAAAGCCTTGCAGATGCTTTTCGATTTTGCTGGGATGCTAACCTGACCCCTGAAGAGCTGCCCCTCCCAGCACCACACCGCCACCACCACCACTACCACGAATCCAAAACTAGGAGTCAACTAGAACTATTGGATAATGTGTTTAATATCAACTTGGAGCTGATGTGCAGGTTTTAAGATCTGGTTTATGGTGTTAGCAAATCCCAATGACACAGTGGCAGCAGCACCTGGTTGTGTCAGCTCACTTTGAGCTCCCTATCTCCAGAGTACTGATATGTATGAGGGTAATTTCATTAATTGTTTCAAATATGTTAGCTTTTATTACAGATGACCAGCCAGAGTCACTAGGCAGTAGGCCAAGGGTCTGTCTGTTCGTTTGCAGGAACCCAAATGCTGCTTGTCTCAGATCACCTGTACATAAACAGGTTACAGCATCTGAGGCCTGGAGCTGTGACTTTACCTATTGGTGGCCTACGGCAATCGACTGTGCTCATTTTGCTGTGTCAGGGTCACTCCACAGCACTTGTTTCATGTCTCTGCTCCGAGTGAACGGATTTGCAGGAAAGGGAGTAGGGACAAGCACCATGTATTATTTCCTGCAAAACTATGTCGTATATGAGACAAAATGTCCAGCATGCACCAAGACTGAATGGAAACCATTGAGTTCCTTGAAGGAATCTCTTGTGAAGGTTAAATGTATAATGATTTGGTTCTGGAGCTTTTGGAAATTTAGTGAGGTTGTGGATAGACACTTTCTCTTGCTGTTATTCATCCAGAATTCCGTTGCGACCTTGTGTGTTCTGGGGTTAGGATGGTGGTGCTACTGAAACTTTCTTCTTCCTCCACAAATGTGAGTGTTCTACAGACTGATGCTGGTTCCCTCATGGTGACTTCCCATTGTGATTTGGCTATTTTGAAATTAGAGCATCCTTTACCATTACAGCCACAAATCTTCTTTGGATTCACAGGTTTACAAATCTGATTCTGACGTAAGGTGTTCCTGTGTTAGTCAATTCTGTAAGCAATCGGATTGCCTTTTTTAAATGTTGTCTTTATTATCAGATTGGGGTGTATAATAATGACATCACTTTTATGCAGATTGGTGTCTGTCTTTTACACATACCCTTTTGTCTATTACCACAATAAGTTCACACAGAGTTAATAAGACTTCTTGGAGTCACTTATCTTCTTTATTTAATAGGTGAATGTAGGAGGTAATGCCGATTATCAGATTTGCTTGGTTCAGTCAATACAACTTGGCTGTGTATGATTATAAAGAAAGCATGCCAGCCCACTTTGATGCCTTAGTGAAATAGAGCAACTACACTTCATTTGACAGTCCAAAGTAGGATCCTGTCTTGTGGGTTCCTATCTCTGTTATTTACCTGACTCCCTATTTCCCCCACACTTCTTGTCTCTCATCTCGAAAGCCAGTCTTTTTCCAACCGTTCTGCCACCCTGTAGATGGTAAAGAGCAGCAATTTGGGTTTTTCTGCACTTACTGAAAGATGTTCTCTGATTTTCTGAATAAGCTAATGAATTACCTGCTGAGTTAGATTAATGCTTAGCATTTTAACCAGATTCTTTGTGGGGAAAACTGGTCAAAAAATTGTGATAAATATGCCATGTGAATGAGAGATGGACTGGAGTTAAAACATTTGCTGTTACCTTTTTCCTCGGCCCCATTTTGAGCCTTGCAGAACTTGGCAGTGTAGCAATATTGTCGCTAATACAAATACCTCAATGGCCAGTACTCCAGGGAACCAGCATGAGGGAAATCAACATTTTAATGTTGCATTCGTATAGATTTCAAAATTGAATGTGTGTGAAATAGCTGAACTGCAAAACCATTAATGGACAGCTCTCACACTTTGTACCCTAGACTAGCAGGATTCTGTCAATTAAATACCTACTAGAACTTTTTTAGGTATATGTTTTTCTGGGATGGCCGCTCTCAGACCTCAGTCAGTGCTCGTGTCTGCTGTGGACAACTGTTTCAGTATTAGCTACCTGTATGTTCTGTTGTGTTTTTATGAAGAGTATTTGTTTTTGTGTGTGTGCGCGCGCGCGCGCGCGTGTGTATGTGTGTATGTGTGTGTGCGCGTACCCGCGCATGCATATTTTTAAAATATCATTTGACAATTTCTTAACTTATTTTTGGTGTTTTACAAAAAAGTTTTTTTTTTTTTAGTGAGTTTGGTATACTTCTTCCCTGCGGAGTCAGTTCAGAATTTCCAAGTGTTCAGCAATGGAAATTATGAATTATGGGATTTCAATAAAATATTTTACTAGTCACTGACTTAGACTTGTGTTGTTTATTTGGTTTGTGGTTAGCTTGACCCTACACTCTTGTACCTCAGGACATCTAATGAAGTACTTTTTGGAACTGTAGTCACTGTTGTAGTGTCCTAAACGCAGCAGCTGGTTTGCACAGAGCAAGATCCCATAAACATTGTGATAATAACCACAATGTATTTCAGGAATATTGAAATTTTTTTTTTTGAGAACTGTGGGATCCAGCCAAGTGAGACCAATTTTTCCTGATAATGTACATGAAAGTACTCAGCCATCAATTATGGGTTTGACCCATGGACTCATTGCATTTTTCACACCCTTCCAATGGTAAATGTCAAATTTCAATGTGTATTTACGTTTTCTTGATTTAATGCTCTGCTAACAGTGCTTTTCGTGATGCAGAGAATCCTGTGGTCGGAACACCGAGCGCAAGGATTTTGCTGCTTCAAAGAGCCTGTCACTAGCCTATGGTTCTGGGAATGATGCCAAGGCTGATCTCAATTCATTCTCAAAAGGGCATGACCCCACATTCTGTTGTCCCATATATGGAAGTGGCAGAGCATGACCTGAACTGGATTCAACTGGTGGAGTGAATGAAGTAGAAAAAGCTTTTCTTATTCAAATGTTTTTAGATGCCAGCTGCAGAAGTTGACCCATTTCCAGTTGGGCATCCATGAAATTAACAGTCCCCAAGGCAGCCACTAATGTCCTAGCAGGTAAGACATGGACAACTTCTGCTCAACTGGCATTGGGTAACTACCACTTAGATCAGGAGCTTTAGTTGGTAAAAGGGAAACTTCAACTGCTGGTAACACAGAAGCAGGAAGTCATTCCATCTTCGGAGTTATTTATCCATTCACTTCAATAATATATGATTTCAAATCCACTCTCCATTTGTAATTTAGAGATATCACTTGTTGAAGCAGCCTTATCTGGCCTTTGCATTGCTCACATCTGAACAATTTGTCTCACTGACCCTCTTATGAACAGATAAATCAAACGTTGAAGCCAGATTCCTGTTCCCTGTAATAACAACAAGCAGACCAATGTTATGTTAAACTATAGAAGGAGAAACTTTATTATAATCATAAATGTGAACTTTTCCCAGTCCATATTTAATACATTATTTTCCTCCCTCTGGTGCCAGGTTCCAATTAAACAATTCTCAAATGAAAGGGCATCAATCATTCAAAGAAATTAACACAAAAACAGCTACACAAACCAACTTCCCAGTTTGGGTCATGCAAAAAAAAAGTGTCCCAAAACTCATGATTTAAAAAAATTAAATAAAATTCCTCTCTATACCACCCACCCCACCCCTTCCCTCCATACACACATCAGATCTATTAGGTTTTAAGTGGTTCTTAAACCCTTGACAATTCAATTCCATAGCAGTTCCCAAAGTGCCCAGCATTACAGATGTTGAAATTCAATCCAGCAGACCCCTCTTCAGCCAAATTGGAGTGTAAATAGGATTCCCCATTGTTTGACCAGGGCATACAGCATCCTGAATCTCTTATTTTAAAAAGTCACACGAAATGTTCAAATGGAAACTGTAGAGTTTGTTTAGGGCGAGAATTAATGTGCTACTAATATAGGCAAATAGTTTTAATAACTGCTTTTAAGAGCCAATTCTGACTATTTGGGCAAGGGAACAGTTGTGGTGGTGGGGGAGGGCAGAGGGAATGCTGGGTGGTGATTTGACCGATACTGCCTCAGGTTCCTTACTCCAGCCCCTCACCATTGGCAAGTTGTGGTTGTCCCCAGATGAAAGCCACCCTCAACAGCCACAAAAGGTTTTTGTGGTTTCCACAAAAGCCACTGCCTTGACAACGGAAGAGCCAAGGTTTAACACTATATTATAGTAATATCATTCTAGAGAAGGGGTCTGTTTAGTAACAGCAGCAAAGTATACATCAAAATCCAGGAAAGTGGGTTTGGAAATTGAGGTTACTACCCCATTTTTACTTAAATTATTTTGTACAAGTATCAAGTCTGAATGGACCACAGATTTTCATCTCCATAGAGATGATTTCCAAAACTTTCCATCAACAGGGGCACTTTTCTTCAACAGCCAATCTCCATAATTAGCAATGCAGCAATAAAAAGGAAAGAGGTGAGTATATTACAGAATGGCAATTGTCAAAGGGATCACAGAGCTAGAATTCTGGTCCTGGGGACAAAGTGAACAGGGATGTTGGGACATCTCGGGCAAAAGCCAGGGATTTAAAAACAAATCCCTGCAGCCAAATTTATATTTTGATTTAAAGTAAACGTGATTAAGAATCTTGCACTGAAGAAAAGATGGTGGTTGGGATGGGCGGAGGGGTGCATGAGAGCAAATTAAATATCAGGTGAGAAATTGCTACAGGTTAATAATACATTCTGATACACAAAGCCAGACATCTTTCTATAGGAGACATAAATTAGAAGCAAAAGGATTCGATTGTTTTGAGTCATTTACAGCAGTGGGAAAATGGCATGTCATCTGTACATGTTTCCAGTACAGGTGATCTATTATACACATCTTTTAACTAAGCAGGTGACCAGCAGATAATCAGTAAACTGGTACTCAGCTTGCTCATAGGACCATTAGGAAATTATCAAGTCCCATTGCAGTCTCCCATCAGTCAAGTTACCAATTTCTACCTCAAAAAAGCTCTATAAGATGGTCATTTGAGGCAAGACAATGGAGATCTGAATAGAGAGCAGGAGCCTCATTTTTACCTGACAGTACAAGAAAAGCAAGTCCTTTTTTACAACAGCAAATACAACGCGACAACTGAAAAACTAAAAGATTAGCTTTCTCTATGTTACAGTGTATGCCAAGACCCGAGTTGAATTAAAACAAGAAATCAATTTCTCTGAAACTGAATGAAGAGGTGTTGCACGAATTGGGAGAAGATGTCTAAGCTTGTGAAGAGATATGAACTGAAGGTATCCAACCTTGTTTTGCTAGTTCCCAGCTGGATCAAAGCCTTAGTCAGGAGGACAAGTGTTTACAAATCAGGTGGCTTTGCAGATATATTAAACACGTCTCGTGTTACTTGACTAAGTACCACATGGCAACCAAATGTGGTTACACAGCAGCTGAGGACCAACCGATTACTGAATGGGGCTTATGTCTCTGGGCTTTCATCCCTTCTGTCTGCACTGGACTCGGGGACAAAGTCCTGGAGATGAACAGGCGAACTTGAATCACCCAATCCCTACCAATTTATCTGTGTTTGAAGTCAGGCCCCAGATGGTAGAGATTTGGGCTTATGAATATGCCTAATCAATGCACACTGTGCAGGGCCACAGAGTCTTAACTCAACTGGAATCCAAGTCAGGCATAGCAAGTTTCTCTATGTCCACTGACATTCAGGAGTGTCCAGTATCAAACTTGAAATCTGCTTGTTAAGGTATAAATGCACATATATAACCTCCTAAAACTGAAAACACCTAAATAAAGATTCACCTGAAAATCAAAATGGTGGTTCAAGCCTTTGTTGAGATGTTTGTATTAGTTGGAATAGTAGAGTGATTGTTCAGATATCCCCTCTGTGTCCTCATTGAGTTTAAGCATTGGAGATAGGAAAAGCATCTTCCCTGGAACCTCAGAAACCCTAGAGTTCAATGTCAGACCCAGTCATTGCTGTAACATGATGACTGGCCCCAAACATGCTCATTAGTTAGTTTCTATCACTAGCATTCACTTAGACAGGGACTGGAGATGGGGCCAAGGGTTGTTGGAAACTAAACCAAATACTGGGTGCATCTAGTACTGTCTCTTCACCTGTTCAGTCTCATCCTGACTCCCTCAATCCACTCATCTTTACTCAACTCTAATCAGCAGTATACACACACACTCAAAAAAAGGGTAGACAGCTGGAGGAGAGACCCAACTCTACTCCTACCCAAACATGGCTGTCCTTAAAACACATTTCACATACCAGCAACGTGTCCTTCATCCCCAACCCTTGGATGGGGAGAATTCCTCCAGCTTGATAACTGCTTCTCCATTCTTCCCCTAACCAGTATATATGCCAGGTCCCTTCTCTATGCACCATTCAGTACCCTACCTCTCCTGTCACTCTCCCCTTCTTGGGCACCAACACTGATTACTGCATCCTAGCTCACAAACTGGCATCAGAATCTCAGACAGCAGCAGGTCCAAGTAGGCTAATGCCCATTGTACTCCAAACCCCATCCACAAAGATCTAGATGGGAATATTTACAATCTAGAAACTGGATGGCAGCTCCTGGTGTTACTTGGGATAAGGATCACGGACACCAGGCTTTCAACTGGAGTGATCCGGATGTGAGCTCATGGTTCCTACAGCGAAGGAGCATCCTTGGTGGTGACCAACAAACAGTGCAGCTACTGAACCGTGTCCAACTTACCACTGACACCATCTGAGCATCAGGGAGATCCAGGAACAGCAACTGGGCAGGAGGAGCAAAGGAACCAGGGAGAAGTATAATCTTTTCACTTTGGATGGGTGAAAACAGGCAATTTGAGGAGACTATAGGTAAAGTTTATAAATACGCTGCTTTGTCACATCTCTTTGTAATGCCCTGGTAATAGTAACGCAAAATGAAATAATCACAGTTAATATGGGTCAACACTGCATCTAACAGACCAGAGGCTACTTAACCATCACAGGTTGAACAAAAATGTGATTGGAACCCTGGAAGAAATTCCTGCCTTGGAAGTTTAATCCAGGGTTAAATTATTCTGGTGGGCAAGACAAAAGGAATGGCCCACAGTAAAAAAACCTGGGAGCTCAACATTCAGCTGGATAAAGAACATCTGTCAATAATTTCTGTGATTCATCTACTGTTTAATTGATTTTTAAAAAAGACAGAAAACAAAAGACAGGAAGAAGGTTGCATTAATTAATTTACAATTTAAAAAATCCTTTCAGAAACTTAAACAGCAAAAACCTTCCAAAACACCTTCCCTTCTCCAACCTTATCTAAGTTGCTTTGGGTTAGGGAAGAGGCCTTGGCTGGGTTGCACAAACTATTAAAAGGGGTTATTCACTAAATAAGCCTAAACAGGAATTCCAGAATGAACTGGAAACAACAACTTTGAAAGAGCCATGATTATTTTGTGCAGAGATGCAGTTTTCCGACCTCCTGATTCACAAGGAAGGAGCCTGATTTTAAACAGCCCCTGGGCACGTTAGCAGATAGTGTTGGTTTTGTAGTGTACCAGGACTCAAGAAGTGGGGTGGGGAAAAGAAAGGATGAGAGCTTGGAGGGTGGGTTAAGAGTAAGTGGTGGTAAGAGAGGGAGGGAAATGTAAGAGGTACATTAAGAACATAAAGGATTCCAGGAAGTGAGCCCCCATCGCCCAACTCCAATCACCCCTCAATCGACATCAGGAAACTGGGCAGAGAGCCCACTGGCACCAGGTTACAGCTAGAATAAGTTGCTTACTAAAGGCACACATCTTGGATAAGGGCCCTGGCTCATTCTCCCTGGAAACAAGTTAACAGCAGGAATTCTGAGAATTAAACCTTATTCAGGCCCAATTCTCCTATGAATGATGATTGTACAGGAGTGGGAGAACAATGAAGGTGAAGCATGGAAATCAGGAGAAGGTGGAAAAGAGGAAGGGGTAATAGGAGGAGGAATAGGATATTACTTTTAAACCGACAAATGCTACAATTATGAGTCTATAATTAGGCAACTGCTGAGTTTAAAAGTTTCTCTCACAATTACTTACTCCTTTCAGGCCACAAGTAATAAACCTGCTCCTCTTCATCTCAACTATCTGAGACAGATCCACTCACTACAGTAAGTTAGTGTAGTACACGATGTGAGATCCCAGATTAATGGCCTCTGCTTCAACTCACCATAAACAGGGAGAAGTGTATGGGGTTGGGCTAAGGAGAGAGAAGGGGGGTGGAGTTCAACAAATCTGCCATCCCACAGTGACATGTCAAGAATGTGTGCAATACATGATCAGTCAGATAAAAAAAACTAAAAAATAAACTTAAAACACTAATGCAAAAAATAAATCTCAAAACTGAAAGATTCCAGCCCAGAAAGTGTCAGCTCGAGTTCTCACTCATCTGTCCCGATTAAAGCTGGTGCCTCCAACGACCTTGGACAAGTTCGCATAGCCTTCCTTACAGCTTCAGTTCATTGGCAATTTTGGACGCTATATTCTTAAATGCTATGGAGGTGCCAGATATGCGTTTGAAACGGACTCCATTGAGGGACAGTCGGGGCAGTTTGCACACCTCCATCTCCCATTGTACCAGGTTGTCCTTGGCGGGGTCCCCATGCATACAGAACAGCATGTACCGCTCCCGTCCCTCATGCTCACAGTTATTGGCATCCAGCACCTTGCCAATCTCTTTCATCATCTCATTGGGCTCCATCGAACTTGTTGTCTTCATGCTCCACGTGAAGCGTAGCGACCGAGGTTTGGCATCTTTATTCTCGTCTTTCTCTGCACTGAGATTGGATCTGGAGGGAGAAGGGGACAAATTACAATTCAAATCATACACAGTTGACAAAACAGAAACAAGCCATTTAACGCATCAGCTCATGTTTCAGCTCCACGTGAGCCTCCACCCAGCCCCCAGTCACCCTATCCTATCCTTTTCTCCCATGTGTTTATCCAACTTCCCTCCCTTAAACTTAGACAGGATTTTCCTTGACCTCTCCTTGTGGGACCAAGTCCCACATTCTTCCCATCCTCTAGGCAAGGGATATTTCTTCTGAATTCCCCATTGAATTCAAACTGATGGGGCACATTCATCTTAATGTCTATGCTATCAAAATCTTTCATAATCTTCAGTAATCTAACAGATCACCCTGAGCCATTCCTGTCACCCCCACACAACACACACTGCACGCAAGATCCATCCTCTCCTCTTTAATTGGATTCACTACCAGGATTTTAATTCTTAGAAGCTATAGAATCCTTACAGTGTGGAAATAGGCCACTCAGCCCATCAAGTCCACACTGACCCTCCAAACAGCATCCCACTCTGACGCATCCCCTAGCCTATCCCTATAACCCTGCATTTCCCATGGCCAATCCTCTAACCTGCACATACTTGGTCTGTGGGAGGAAACCCATGCAGACATAGGGAGAACGTGCAAACTCCACACAGACAGTCACCTGACGACGGAATTGAACCCAGGTGCCTGGCGCTGTGAGGCAGCAGTGCTAACCACTGAGACACTGTGCTGCCCCAAGGATGAGGTGGGGGGGGGGGGGGGGGGGGGGGGAGAGAAGACAGTGAGCTCCAGTGGGTGCAGATGTTGAGAGAGCAGCAGTTTCAGTTTCAGACTTTACCCTCATGACTGACACATACAAACAATTCTTAAGCTTATGCAATTATCATAAGATACAGGAGTAGAACTAGACCATTCAGCCCATCAAGTCTGATTTGCCATTCAATGAGATCATAGCTGATCTGATCATCAACTCCACTTTCCTACCTTTTCCGCGTAACCCTTCACTCCTCACTGATTTTATTTGATTAAAAATCTCTATCCCAGCTCTGAAAAATAAGAGGGAGCCAGCATGACCTATTTTTAAAAATTTATTTCACGAATGTGGGCATCACTGGCAGGGTCCATTCCTGAATGCCGTGGAGAAGATGGTGAACCACTGCAGTCCAATGCTGTTAGGAAGGCTGCAGGAAATGCATGAAAAAGTAACTGTCCCACTCCTGTATGCCCTTTTCCAGCCAGCAAGAGTCATTAGCCCAGCGCCAAGACTGACAGCAGTTTGAGCTGGACGGTATACAGGACAAATAGCTTTGACTCTCCTTGACTCATAGGAACCAGAGTGACATGTGTGCCAGAAGCTACAGTTCACAGGCTGAGGTGTAACAAGAGCTTGAGGCTCAGTTCAAACAGATAAATCCAGAGCAAGGTCCCACATGCAGCACGATTGAGGAATGGAGAAGGGCAAGGGATGGGGCTGTACAAAGACAACCAGCAGGGCAGAAGGAGCAGGGTGCGAGGCAAAGAGGGTGGGTGAAGATCAGGGAGGGTGGGGGTGAAGGAGAGGGAAGGAGGAGGGATGCAAGGGAGAGGGAGGGGCACAAGGGTGGAAAAAAAGGGTGAGTGAGATAGGATGGGGGGTGAAAGGGAATTGTGCAGAAAGGGATAGCGGCACAGGGAGGAACACTGGGACGGGGAGGGGCGCGGAGGGGGGGCAGTGGGGAGAGAGTGGGAATGTTGGACTGGGTTTTGGGGATTTGGTGCTGACTCCAATCTGATGTGGTTGTGAAGACGCTGAATTCTCCAGTGAGGTTATTGACACCAATCAGAAAATCTGATTATTTGCTCACAACAGATCAGTCTCAGCTAGAATCAAGGCCATTCATCAGGAAGATCAAAGATTGGCTCGAGAAATGATTTGTATTTTCTATACTGCTTAGTGGCGACAGAGAGAGAGAAAGAGAGCCCAGTAAAATCAAACTAAATTCATCCGTTATTAGGCACCAATTGGAAATTTGGGAAACATTGTTGGTGACAAGTTTCAGCCTTGTCTCAAAAAAACCAGATCCCAAAGGACATGAAATAACAGGGCACTGGAATAAACTGCAGGCTGAGGACTAATCAGAATCTAAATCGGGGCGCGACGGACACACACACACACACAGCTCGCTGCTCTGGGAGCGACTGACACACACACAGCTCGCTGCTCTGGGAGCGACT